GGCGGGTGGCCGCGTCCGGCCGGGAAAAGAAAGGAGCCAGTCAGGTGGGAGAGAGACGATCACGTGGGTTTGAGAGGCGGGCTGAAGCGAGCTGGGGCCTGAGAGGAGGGGTCTGTGATGCCGAGTCACCGGGGCTGAAGAGGGTCACGTGGTTCAGGAAGGGCCAGCGGTGGGCTTGTGGGTGGGAGGTCAATCAGAGGTGGGTGTAGGGAGAAAGCTTTGTTCCTGTTTTCCACCCTAGTAGAGGGGAGAGGAAAATGCTGAATGGAGGGCGTGAGTGCCTGGTATGAAAATGTGAATGAGTCTCCCTAGCTCCTTCCAGCATGGAGCCACCCATTACTGAATTATAAGATCCACGGAAAAGCACACACTTCGTTTAAAGTATTCCTTTCTCCACCCCCCAACTGCCACAAAAATGACTCACGAGTCAGAGGGAGGGGTGTTCTTGTCTCTTTCTACCTGCACTTCGTATGGACGGCCCCCGCCCTACAAATGGCTGAAAGGGTAGAGGAAGATAAGAAAAGTTGAGGGATTGTGACGCCTAGAGGTCTCTTTCCATCTGGCCTTTTAGGAACCTTGTCGTTATTCACAGACTTACTGGCCACTCCTTACGTTTTAGACCCAGGCTCATCATTCTACGTCTCCAAACTTAAAAACCAACCAAACAAAAAATGTGCTGTGATACCCTGTGTTTCCTTCACCCTATGTATTAGGTTATTTTCTCTACTAGTCCACTTCTAAGTGTTCGTTTCAGGGACACCCATATGACCCAGTATGCAAGGGTCACTTTCTACTTACTTGAGGGTTTATAATAGATTCTGTGGACTACATCCCTTCTCCACTCTCCTATCACAATTTTGGGCACGCTCGCATGCACGTGCTTCTGGTGTGGGTTTTGAGCTTTCTGGCCCAGGACTCGAACAGAGGGCAACCATATGGGTATCTACCGATGTTACCATTACGTCTGCTGGTCCCTGTCTTTCTTGAAGCTTCTTTCTCTCCCGTAAACTCCTCACATCAGTTCCCCTGACACCATTAAACTCTCAGATCTTCTTTCTCTTTTTTTAATCCCTTCATCATTGACTTCTTTTTTTTTTTTTTTAAAGAGGTTTTTGCCTTAGGGCAGAGACAGAGACAGTGATACGGAAAGTGAGAAATAACACCCTCCCACACACAACGTGGGATGCCCACACCACAATCTATTCTCCATTCTCCTCCCAGGATTTTGGGCACATAATCACATGTGCCTGGGTGGGTTTCAAGCCACCAGGGCAGGGATCCAATCAGTCAGCCATGTGGCAGTCCAGCAGTGTAACTGCTATGCCATCTGCTGGTCTCATCGTTGACTCTTTTAAGGGGGGGTGGGACAGATGGTGTCTGGTTAAGGAAGTTGGACTCCCACATGGCTGGTTATGGTTCGTGGCCCAGATCTGGCAGCTTGCTTTCTCACTTTCCCTCTCTCTAGGTCTGTTGCTCTCTTGTCAAATTAAAATATATAAATAAAGTTAAATAAATAATTCTTTAAAAAAAAAAGAGTCCCAGGATCTGACCCTCAATCCTCTTTTTAGTAGGTACAAAGTCAATCTACTGCACTCAAGTAATCTGACCGTTTTGATGGTTTAAGCAGCTGATGTTAATTTAATGAGATCAAGACTTACCTATATAAGTGGCATTTGGACATCTCCACTTGTAAGCTGCGTGTCATATCCAGACCAACTCCTTTATCCCCAGAAGGCCATAGAGTTTGCCCTTCTCTGTTCTCTATCTTCTTTGGTAACACCAGCATCCACTTAACTTTCTCAAGTCAGGAACCTGGGAGTGATCTTCTAGACCATTCCCTCACTGCTATTACATCTCCCTAATTCTTCTAACTTGGTTTTATTGCTTATATTTATTAAAATCATTCTCCTCTCCACTTCAACTACTACTGCCTTACTGAAATTTATTATTAGGTCAATTTTTCCTGAGCACCTTACTATGTGCTAGTCATTGAGATGTTAGGTATAATGGTGAACAACTGACTAGAGTTCTCAGTGGGGCCAGACTAACAGTATATGGGTAAATTAGTAAATGAGAAATTCAGGAGGCTGTATGAAGACTGTAAGACAGGAAAACCTACAGGAAACTTCTGAAGCTGTTGCCCAGCTATTCACTGCATTTCTACCTCATCCCTATCTTCTTTCCCACCCTCTCCCCTTTCCCTTCCAATCCCTCTTCCTTCATATATTTTCTTTTTCTTCTTTCTCTTTTTCCTCCCCCTTCTTCTACCCTTCCCCTAACCTCTCTCCCCCTACTCCTCTCTTCTTCCCTCTTTTTTTTTTTTTCAGATAAGGTGGGTACTGCTTTTTTTTTTTTTTAGATACAATGGCTGCTGAAACCATCAAAATGGTCAGATTTTTTGAATGCAGTAGACTATGTGCCTGGGACTCTTTTTTTTTTTTTAAAGAATTATTTTATTTAACTTTACTTATTTATTTTAATTTGACCAAAAAGGGATAGAAGGAAACAAAGGGAAAGTAAGAAAGCAATTTTTTAGATGTTATTCTCCATGCAGCAGTTCTCTTGCCTCAGCATCCCAGATCAACTAGACATCTAACACAGGCTGTTTTTTTGTTTTGTTTTGTTTTTATATAGAAAGGGTCTCACTGTGTTGCCCAGGACAGTTGCAAGCTTGCCTCACTGGGACTACAGGTGCATGCCACTATCCCTGGTCTTTAGGTTGGACCTGAATCAAACCCAGACTTCCCATGTAGTCCCAACCCACAGAGGGCCTACTGCAGCTGGGCCCACATTCTTTCTTCTTATTCTCAATGATGAGATCGCACTGATCTTTTCACCTGGAGTCTTTATTTCATTCCCTTTCAACTGCCAGGAGTTTGCTCTATCTTTATATTTTTTACATTACAGCTGCCTAAGTACACATCTCCCAAGTAGATGATAAGTTATTGAGGTCAGAAGTCTTATCTTACGTATCTCGAGCTTCCCCAGTGCTGTAGCTCAATAAGTGCTCACAAAATAAGTGTTAAATAAATTGGTGAGCCTCCTGACCCCTGAAATAGGCTACTACAAAATCATGTGAAGCCTAAATCAGAAGAGAAAGGCCCATGAATTCACCTGTTTGAATGCTGTGGCAGTGGTGCCTTATGGCATTCATAATGCCATAATGCAGGCATTATGAATGAGAGCTCCTGTTTTGGTCCCTTCCAGGCCTGGGAGTCCATGATGCTGTGCCCCATGTATGGCAGTGGTTGCTTCATAAATACTACTTTACTCGACAGTGCCAAGTACATGTGGGCAATTTAAAAGTACTCTTTGTTTCTGAGGATGAGCTTCAAATCCAGAGAACTCTGGGTGAATTGCCAGGATAGGCCCTGCAGGAGAAGGTCGCCATCGCCACTTCGTATTTCCAGGCCCTTGGGTATTGCACCCCAACAGAGAGCAAGATGTTGCCAGTTCCATCATAGTCATTGTAATTAAATCTAAGTTCTGGCAAAGGGCAGTACGTAATTATGAAGTATTATTATGGTTTTTATCATTATTAGGCACCCAGCTGCCCAGCCCAGGAAACCACAGTAGTAAAACACTGAGAAGCCAAGCTCCTCTCCCAGCTGGCATGAATCAATACCAGGTGTATTGGCACATAGTCTTGCAGCTCCACACTCATCAAGAGGAGACTTTCTGTCTCCTCTTTTTGGCAAGATAAAATTTTAAATGAATGGAAAGAGGAAATGTAAAGAAAGACCTTTGTCGCCTGTGAATTGAATTCCTGTTTCTTCCATCTCCCCTGAACGGTCTTTTCTCATCTACATATTTATTGCATAAATCTTTTTCAGCATTATCCTTGACCTGCTAGCTTCCTTAACATTATCCCACATGTCTCCTGGGAATATATGACATTTCATTAAGGTGAGAGTACAGGAAAGAGAGCACTTTCACTTTCAAGAAACTTACTATGTAGACTAAGTAATTCACAAAGCATAGTCAAGTTTGACAAGACATTTGCCATCTACTGAACACCTACTCAATGCCATAGTCTACATCTTCACATATACTATTTAACTTAATCCACACCACCCTACCAGGTAGGTTTCATTATTCCATCTTCTTCAAGGTCATAAAGATTTAACTAAATAATAGAGCTGAGATTCTAGCATAAATACGTACATTTGGCAATTGTATATTCATGGTGGATTTGTCCGTGGTGGTAGCTGAATATAGGTATCAAATTTCACCTCTTTCTTTCTTCCTTCCTTCCACCATTCCTTCCTTTTTAAAAGGTTTTTGCAAGAGGGTGCATATATTCTCCAGAGACATACAGACAGTGAGACAACCCCCAGGAGTGATGGCCATGCCACAATCCCTTATTCTCCATGCTCCTCCTGGAATTTGGGACATACACACACATACC